TCGCAGATTTCGTGGCGGCCCTTCGCAAAGCCGCACGGCCATGTAATTTCCACAACGTGGAGGAAGCCCTCAGAGACCGTCTCGTCTGCGGTCTCAAAGATGAAAGGCTGCAACAGAGGCTGTTCGCCCGCACCACCCTGACCTGGGCAGTGGCCTACGAAGAGGCCATGGCCGCGGAAGCAGCGGAGAAGTCCACGAAGGAGGTCCGCCAGCGGGTGGCAGAGCCCAGTATACACGCTCAACGAGACAGCGAGGGCGAAGACGCGGATGATGACGTCAACGCGGTTCGAGGCAAGCGGACCCCAGCGAAGACTACCAACGTCAAGCCTTGCTCCGGTTGTGGCGGGAAACACCAGCGCGACTCCTGTTGGGCTCGTGATGTCGACTGCAGAGCGTGTGGGCGGCGTGGTCATCTGGCCAGAGTCTGCAGATCAGCAAAGAAGGATCCCTCAACTAACAACCGGTCAGCGCAGAGGGGCACTCCAGTCAGCACCCAAGGCAAGACCCGTTCCTCAGCATCGGAAGCAAGCTGCCAGTTGACGGCGACCTTGTCGAGCGCATCGGCCGTAAATCGCACCAGCAGCCAGGGCAAGATCACCGTGACTCCACTCCTCGACGGCCGACCCTGTACAATGGAGGTGGACTCAGGATCGTCCGTGACGGTGATTTCTGCCGCGTCCTGGCGCCAGTTGTTCCCGAACCGAAGCCGGCGGCGGCTCCAGCCTGCGGGAACCAGAGTGTCCGACTTCCAGGGCAACCGAATTCCCTTGGCCGGACGGGACTCTGTTACTGTTGAGTATAAGGGGAAATGTGTTAAACTGTCATTCCTGATTGCAGAGGGAGACCGGGTTAACCTGCTAGGGTTAGATTGGTTTGAGCCATTGGGCATTGGTATTTCTGGGATTAACAGGATGTCTGAAAATAAATGGGGCATGCTGTACGACCTGTTCCCTGATGTATTTGCCGAAGGGTTGGGGAGGTACAAGGGCCCCCCGGTTGCGTTTGACTTAGATCCGTCAGTCAAACCTATTAGGTTGAAGTATCGGAAAGTACCTGTGTCTCTCAAACATAAGGTGGAAAAAGAGATTGACAAACTAGTTGAGCAAGGGGTTTTAGAGCCAGTACCATACAGCAAATGGGAGACCCCGATCGTAACCCCTGTCAAATCAGATGGGTCCATACGACTATGCGCCGATTACAAATGTACGATTAACAAGGCGCTGCAGCAACATTCGTACCCGGTCCCGGTAATAAGCCACATTTTGGCTTCCCTGGGGGGTGGCAAGATTTTCGCCAAATTTGACCTGGCCCAGGCATACCAGCAGTTGCCTGTCACCCCGGAGGCTGCCGAGGCCCAAACAATTGTAACCCACCAAGGGGCTTTTAAAGTGAACAGGCTGCAATTCGGGGTCAACGTAGCACCTGGGATTTTTCAGGGCCTCATGGAACGTCTACTAAGGGGGGTACCTGGCACAGTGCCCTATTTTGACGACGTGCTGATTGCGGGCGGGTCTGAACAGGAACTACTGGACCGGGTTAAAGAGGTCCTCAGGCGTTTTCAAAATGCCGGTCTCAGAGTTAAGCGCTCAAAATGCACGCTCGGGGTGGAAAGTGTGGACTTCCTGGGGTTTCGCATTGACGCAGAGGGAGTCCACCCCACGGATGAGAAGGTATCTGCAATCCAAAACGCCCCCAGGCCGGTGAGTAAGAAGGAGCTCCAATCCTTTTTAGGACTCCTGAATTTTTATCATGCGTTTTTACCGCATAAGGCATCAGTGGCGGCCCCTTTGCACGCGCTTTTGCACAAGGAGGCAAAATGGAAGTGGGGGCAGGCCGAGGAAAAGGCTTTTGTGGGAGTCAAGGAGCTGCTGACATCTAATGCCGTACTCACGCATTATGATGAACACAAGCTCCTGGTGTTAGCTGCTGACGCTTCACCTTTTGGAGTAGGCGCAGTTTTAAGCCATCTGATGCCTGATGGGAGCGAAGCGCCTATCGCTTTTTATTCTAGATCACTATCTGCGGCAGAGCGGAACTATGCCCAGATAGACAAGGAGGGTCTGGCGTTGGTAGCGGCTGTCAAAAAGTTCCATGATTTTATTTTTGGCAGACGATTTTTGCTGGTCACTGACCACAAGCCGCTACTGGGGATTTTTGCGCCCGATAAGCAATTGCCAAACATCATGTCCCCACGCATGCTTAGATGGGCGATATTTTTGCAGGCTTATGATTTTGACTTAGAGCACCGGCCTGGGAAAGCGATTGGGCATGCGGATGCCCTCAGCCGGTGCCCGGTGCCGGACATTGGCGCAGACCCTGCCCCCGCCTGTGAGGTCTTGGCAATTGAGGAGCTTCCTCGACCCCCGGTATCATCCAGGGACATTGCAGCACACACGGCCAAGGATAGCGTGCTGTCCCGAGTATTAAACTGGGTTTGGAGGGGGTGGCCGGTTGGAAGCGTTGAACCGGAGTTCGGCCCTTACAAAAGCCGTCAAAATGAACTATCCATTTCTAAGGGCTGTGTATTATGGGGGAACAGGGTGGTGGTTCCTGACAAACTCAGGACGAGAGTGTTAGAGTCGCTGCACGAGGGTCACCCCGGTATGGTACACACCAAAGCGTTGGCCAGAGGGTATGTCTGGTGGCCGGGGCTGGACAAAGAGATCGAAGAATGGGTACGAGGGTGTCCCAAATGCCAGCAAGTCAGACCCGATCCCCCACAAGCTACACCCCAAGGCTGGGAGTCATCTGGTAAACCCTGGGCCAGATTGCATATAGATTTTGCTGGCCCTCTCCAAGGGCAAATGTTCCTAATTGTGGTGGACGCTATGTCCAAATGGCTGGAGGTCGTGCATATGAAATCGACCACATCACTTGCTGTGATCCATGCGCTCCGCCGACTTTTTGCCACCCACGGGTTGCCTGACGTCATCGTCAGTGACAACGGGCCTCAATTTGTGTCTGAGGAATTTAGGCTCTTCCTCACGAGTAATGGCATACGCCAAATGACTTCGGCCCCTTTCCATCCGGCATCTAATGGCCAAGCCGAACGGATGGTCAGGACGGCCAAAGAGGCCCTGGGTAAAATGGACGAAGGGGACTGGAGCCAGAGGCTGGGCTCCTTTCTTTTGCTGCAGCACACCACCCCCTGTAGTGCTACAGGCCGTAGTCCGGCCGAATTGTTAATGGGGCGGAGACTCACGACCCGTTTGAACCGAATGCACCCAGACCTCACTGAAGAGCAATCCGAGCGTACCACGGCGCAACCGAAGGTGCGCATGTTTGAAAAAGGGGACAAGGTTTTCGCACGAAATTATGCAAACGGGCACTTATGGCTTCCTGGGGTTATATCCGACTCTGTGGGTACTCGAATGTATGTGGTGCAGTTAGCTGACGGTCGAATATGGCGGCGCCACATAGATCAGTTAAGGAGACGTTGGGCTAGGGACAGCGCTGACTCTCCGACGGCTGAATCCCCTGATGTCGAGTGGACACCCCCAGAGCAGGCGGTGAGTACCGAAAGGCCCGGTACTGTCCCCGAGTCAGGGCAGAACCCTGTGTGCGGGGCTGAAATCCCAGTCGAGTCTGTGCCTGATCCAGGCTGTAGTGAACCCCACTCTGACCCACAACCTTGTCTGCCCATGGAGCCTGCACCGCTCCGCAGGTCCCAGCGTTCGCGGCAAATGCCGACTTATCTGAAGGACTATGAGTGTAAATACTGTTGGAATAACTGATGTACAAAGGTTGATTGCATGTTTGTAAATAATAAAACAATTGGGATGATGGCTTAACTTAGGGGGGAGGAATTGTAATGTATTGAAATGATTACATGAATCACCTCATAGGACTCCCATGTTAAGCTTCGAGCCAGACCAGGGCTCCTCTGAGCGAACTTCCTATTGGTCGCTTCGTAACAGCGACCAATCAGAACGATACCATTCCCTAGGAGGGAAAGACTCCCATTGGTCTTTATTCTAGCAATCTCATTGGTTGTTATTTGTAAATAGGCGTGGCTACATTAGCCCGGTTATGTTTAAAAGGAGCATAAGCTCCCACTGTTTTCTGTTCTGGTTTCTTACTGAGTTAGTGCTTGTTCGTTACTTCTAAATAAAGCTGAATCACTTGCTGAATCACTCTACGGTTCCTTTGTTAGCGCGATCTAACACTTAACCCACAGGGGTCTTCAGTTTTGTTCAGCTGGTGAGCAATGCTCCCTCTACGCTGTGGAGTCTTGTGAGCAAAGATTCTACTTTGTGAGCTACCGGCATTAAAGTTGTGAGGGAGCGATTTGGCTACTGCAGAAATTAGTTCGCTCCGGAGCCATCCCTTCCTGGGCTAAGGCAAAAAATGTGCAAGCTGGAGGCTAAAAAAACTGTGAGCTAGCTTACACTAACTCAGCTTAGAGTGAATGCTGCTTGTGAGTGCTTCTGGGATTTTGAGAACAGGCTCCACCATAAAAGGGCTGCTGTGGTGGCCTGGATGAATCACAAAAGGGTGGGAGGTGGCAAGTTAAGCATCTTCCTACAATGGAGGCACCTGTGACAGAAAAAAAGGAGGAGATTGTTTTGTACCTGGCCCTTCACAACCCGAAGGAGTCTCAGAGCGGCTTACAATCTCCTTTCCCTTTCCCTTCCCCTTCCCCTCCGATGCCTTTTAATCTGTACAGCCAATGAGAAGCCCTGCTGGGTAGAAGCCCACCTACTTTCTAAAAGCACTTGGTGGGCACCAGGAATGGTGTCGGCGGTTGCCATGGTACCCGTGGGCACCACGTGGGGGACCCCTGATCCAACATAACAGTGCAGGGACAAACTATATTATATTTTGGTACAAAAGAGGCTTACTAATTCAGTTTGTCTTGTTCGTATTTAAATGTTTGAAGAAAAAGACAGAGAGCAGCCATATACCTAGACCTTATGTCCTCTGGACTTCACCACATTTTGGGCCTAGCCATTAGGGCAGAAGTGTGAGGATTCTTTGTGTAACCAAACATCAGTACTCACACGAGCTCCTTTTTCTGGGAAACATTCACATCCTCCACTACAGTCTCTTCCAGCACAGGGTCCGGTGTAGGATTTTCCTCCCTGGAAAACAAAAACAAAGCACAAATTTAAAAGACAGTTAAATAACAGGACAGCTTACAGGTGTGGGGGGGGGGAGGGGCCAACATGACAGCAACCCTGAATCAAATGAAGAACGACTGAGTGACTTGGGTTTCATTCAGCAATCCCAAATGGAACGATATTAGATTACTTACAGTGCAATCTTCAGGGGAATTATACTCTTCTATGCCCACTAATTTAATGGATTTAAGAAGGGTTTATAACTCTTACTTACTTATTTATTATTTACATCCCACTTTTCTCCTGGATCAGGGACTCTCAAAGCAGCTTTTCGTAAATCCCCCCCTCACTTAGTCCCCACCACAATAACCTTGTGAGGGTAGGTTAGGTTAGGCTGAGAAATTGTTACAGGCCCAAGGACACCTGGCAGGCTTTCATGGTCAAGTGAGGGATTTGAACCCTTGTATGCCAATAAAGGATATTGGAATTGGAATTGGATTTGAACCCAGTCATTGCAGAACCAGCTTTGTGCAGTGGTCAAGAGTGACAGACTCTAATCTGGAGAACCAAGTTTGATTCCCCACTGCTCCACATGAAGCCTGCTCGGTGAGCTTTGGCCAGCCACAGTTCTCTCAGAACTCTCTCAGCCCCTCCTGCCTCACAAAGTGTTGTGGGGAGGGGAAGGGAAGGCAAATGTAAGCCACTTTGAGACTCCTTAAAGGTAGAGGAAAGTGGGATATAAAATCCTCCTCCTCCTGTCTATCTACTATACCACACCAAGCTCTCAACTCTGTTTAGTATTGCACTGTTCGAGCTATAGCAATTTGCAGTCAATGTCTGCTGCAAACATTTTTAAGTATAATTCACTCGTCCACTGCAACTCGGAAATAATTTTAAAAACAAAACAGTGCCAAAGGCAAAATGACATTTCCTTACAACAAACAGGGATGGAAAACGAAAGCTGCAAAAAAACAATATCCCTTGATGCTGAACAAGTAGTTACATACTCTGAAACAAGACATCATTGGAAGGCACTGAAAATGTGATCAGCTTCGCAAGCGGCCAAACAATACAGCCTGTATTCACTCCTCCCTGAGTACAGATGATTCCCTTTAATGTCAACGCAAGTCCTGGTGTGTATCTTTGGAGCGCAGAGCAATCTTAATGAAAACCATCAACCCACAGACAGGGACAAAACTTACCATTTATGTACAAACAACCCAAAGAATGTATAATCACTGGTGGTGTCCCAGATTTCTTTTTGTGAAAACGAGGAAGACATCTTATTACTCGAACGATTTATGCAGAAACAGAGGCATTAAGTGATCTGCCCGAAAAGCAAAAGACTGCATGTCCTCTCCTTTACACATTCTCATAAACCTTTTGCCCCAAGAAGTTATTTCTTACACAGTGCAGTACAGGCCCCGCAATCCACAGGCAACTCTCTTAAAACACAGTTTCAAGATTCCAGCAAGAATTTTCGAGTTGCCGTGAACGAAACTTCGTGAAGCACAATTCAGAGGCCAGAAAGATCTCAGTTGCCTTAAACTGTTGCACACTTGCACATTTATTTTTGTGACAAACTCAAAAACGAATCAACCGTCTAACCCAGGGGTCTCCAACCTTTTTGAGCCTGCGGAAATCTGCACAGCCAACCAAATCTCCAGTGGCCTTGCTGGACAAAAGTGCCACCTGGCCCTGCCCACTTTCTAAACACACTTGGTGGGCACCAGAAAAAGTGTCAGCAGGTGCCATGGAAATAGTTAAATTCAGGACTGGAACAGGGACATACACAGAAATTTTACTGGGACTGTACTGTTCTTTAATAATTCCATTTGTTTTCGTTGTCATTCTTACTGCAGCTTTTCATATTCTTTACTCTGTTTATTTATTTCAACAGGAAACACTGTTCTCCCTGAAACATTTTTTAATTTCATACCCTATTGGTTAGAAAAGGGGAGGTGTCCTTCACCCAATGGATCCTTTCTGCCAAATTTCAGGCAGGCAGCAGAAAACGGACCTTTTAGAGGCAATTAAACTTACTATCTTGCGCTGTGGCATGGAAGAAGAAATATAGGGAGCACCTTCATAGGCATATCCTTAGGGCTGGATTTAGATAGTTTGAGGATGTATGGGGCTAATCAAGGCAGCCTTGAGTTTCTAACATCAGAAAAAACTCATTAGACTTGCCAGGGGAAAAAAATAATCACATATTCCATCCAAATTTAAATTCAGCTCCTTCCTGTCCCTCCGGTTCCCCACCCCTCATTTCTAGCACATGTTAATTCGCTGAGCCAAGAGGAACCATCGCAGACATGCCCTTGACAAGAGAAGAATTCAGCTATATTATGCCAGGAGGAAGGGGGGAACCAGATATCCTGCAGTTCAACTCACTCCCTTATTTTCTGGACCTGCTTTCTACTCCGAGGCAGAATTTCCCAGCCTGAGCTCGGTTGCTGCTGTGGTGAGAACTATTCTGTCTCTGAGGAAGAAAATAGAGGTAGCCATGGCTAGCCCGATCTCATCATATCTCAGTGGTTGGCCCTGGTTAGTATTTGGATGGGGGTAAGGTAAAGGTAAAGGTTCCCTTGCTCGAAAGCCAGTCGAATCCGACTCTAGGGTTGCGGTGCTCATCTCCGTTTCAAAGCTGAAGAGCCAGCGCTGTCCAAAGACGTTTCCGTGGTCATGTGACCGGCATGACTAAACACCAAGGCGCACGGAACGCTGTTACCTTCCCACTGAAGTGGTACCTATTTATCTACTTGCAATTTCTTGCTTTCGAACTGCTAGGTTAGCAGGAGCTGGAACTAGAGACGGGAGTTCACTCCGTCATGCGGCACCTGGGTCTTGAACAGCTGAACTACCGACCTTCCACAGCCTGCAGTTCAGCGCCTTAACCACTTGAGCCACCGCAGCTCCTTTGGATGGGGGTCCACCGAGGAAATCCAGGATTGCTATGCAGAGGCAGGGAATGGAAACCGCCTCTGAATGCCCCTTGCCTTTAAAACCCTAAAGGGTTGCCATAAGTCAGCTATGATGGCAATAATTTTTGTCCATCTTTGTTCTCATTGGGAATGACGCCACCTTCTCCACCACCGACCCTCGGTTAGGATGCGGCCTGCTGGGGCATTAGGCAATGGGTTGGCTCTTCAGCCAGTTGATGGACAGGGGAGAATCTCTTCCACCTCCTGCCTTTTCTGGAGCCTTCAAAGCTTTTTTCAGTACAGCTGCAGCACTGCACTTTGGTACACCATGGGGAATGTTTGTCCTCAGCATGCCTGCCTGAATGCCAAAACAACATTCCTCCAGGACATGGTGCACCTTGGAGGCAAGCAGGAGGCGAAGGCACAGCAGGGAAGGGAATGCGTGGCAGTGGTAGAGACAGGCTCTAGGGCAATGATTCTCAGGGTCTCGGGAGCCATATGTGGCCCTTTGATATACCACTGGTGGCTCTTCCAAGCACCATTCCCCAATGTGACATGTGTTTCAGGAAATGTGACACCTGTTTCATGAAAGTGGGCAATGCCCTTGCCCAGTGGAGTCTGTGGTTGGCAGATAGTTCCCACCTTGAAAAAGCCACCAGAGGAACAGGTAAGCTGTGAGCCTCCCTGTGGCTCAAGTCTCATTCCAGGGATGGAAGTAAATGTGGCCCTTTTGGTTGAAGGTCATTGCAAAAGTGGCTCTCCATGAGCCGTGCAGTGAATACCACTGCTTTAGGACAAAGAAACAAATGCATTATGGTTATAGTAGTAACTCCACTGCTTTCCCCTTTCAGTTTCAGGAACTAAACGACTATAATCATTTACTTCACTTTTTTTCATTTGTTTTGAAATCACAGCATGGAAAGAGCAGCTGGAACAGCACGGGGTAAAGGGAAACTCCCGTCTTGAGTGGACTTTCCGCCATGACGGCACTGGCGCTTCCAAGAGCTTCTTCCCGGGAGACAGCCAACATCACAATCCCACCATACGAAATGCCAGACTGTCAAACCATCAGCCCCATTGTCCTTACCGCACAGAAGAAACACCCACCGGGTCTAAACCATGGACTGTTCACTGCCTCTGTACCAAAAATGATCAGGCTGGGAAATCCCTGGCCCCTGTTGGGTCCATAAGTGGGCACACCTGGTACAGAGTCTTGCTTTGGAGACTTGCTCAGAAAAGAGACAATCAGCAGAGGGAAGATGGAAAAGTGTCTTCCCCTAACATCCTCTGCTCCCTCCTTCTGCCATGAATTCTCATGATTTCTGCTCGTTTATGGTTCACATCAGCCTGCTGGTTCTGGGGCAATCCAGCATCCTCAAAGAGATGAACGTGCTAATCCACAAGACCGTGGCTTGTGGATTCCACACATACCTCTGAAACAAAAACATGAGCAGCTCAAAGCCCAATGGAATCAGTCAGTGACCTCAAAGGTCACTAATATCTTTAGAGCTAAGTCGGGGGCGTGGTTGATGGGTACAGCCAGCCCCTACTGTATAGTCCTCGGCTCTAAGAATTCATAATGAGTCGAACTTATTTTGATGGTAAAATGTTACCAGATTTACTAAGATTTTGATGGTAAAATGTTACCAGATTTACTAAGAATTCATAATGAGTTTAACTTTTTTTGATGGTAAAATGTTACCAGATTTACCCGAAAGGAACACATCCCTACAAAAAGCTATATACTCACAAAAATTATTACTGGGCATAACTGTAATTCGTGTATGAATGTAACATGACTCCCTCTCTATTTTGATAACGTGCTTGTAGGGAAAAAACCTTATTTGAGTAGATAAGCAAAATAAGTGACATGTTATCACCGTTTGTAAAGGTTTCCTGATGTTTTTACTTGTGTTTTCAAGTGTCTTACTATGGTGGCTTTGTTATGGCTGAAACAAAACCGAAACTTTTTTGGCTCGAAATCCAGTTCACGCAGTTTCAGCAAGCATGTAATTCAGTATTTTTTCCTGACAGGAACATACCCCCAGAAGGAATCTGGAGGGAGAATCAAACTCCTGCCACTGAAACGGCCTTAAA